GATTGCCCTCTCTTCTCTTGATCGCCTCTCTTGATCTATCTCTTTCTGATCGCCCATCTCTCTCCTCTTGATCGCCCTTTCTTTCTCTGATCGACCTCTCTCTCCTCTTGATCGCCCTCTCTCTCTCTCTTGATCGCCCTCTCTCTCTCTTTCTCTTGATCCCTCTCTCTCTCTCTTGATCGCCCACTCTCTCTACTCTTGATCGCCCTCTCTCTCTCCTCTTGATCGCCCACTCTCTCCTCTTGATCGCCCTCTCTCTCTCTTGATCGCCCTCTCTCTCTCCTCTTGATCGCCCACTCTCTCTCCTCTTGATCGCCCTCTTGATCGCCCTCTCTCTCTCCTCTTGATCGCCCTCTCACTAGCACTTTTAAATTCGACAAGCAGGTCAGCACTGTAGTCAAATCCTGCTTTTTTTAAATAAGACTATTGGCCAAAACCAAGTCGTATTTATCTTTTAATGACTTAGAAAGGGTTATTAACGCCTTTGTTACCTCAAGACTGGACTATTGCAACGCTCTGTATGTGGGTATGGACCAGGCCTCAATTAAACGCCTGCAGCTAGTCCAAAACGCAGCTGCACGTTTGCTGACTGGCCACAAAAAGCGTGACCACATCACCCCAATTCTGGCCTCACTACACTGGCTTCCAGTTCGGTTCAGAATTGATTTTAAAATCCTTTTATTTGTTTTTAAAGCACTAAATGGGCTGGCTCCGGCCGCGTCCCGCCGTCTCAAGCTGAGAAATCCGCAGAGCTGCAGCTGAAAAAAGATTGAGTGTGTGAGGAAGTCCATTGGTCAATTTGGACCAATCCGCGGACATAACGTAACGGCTCTGCGGACGTAACATAACGGCTCCGCGGATTGGTCCATTTGGACCAATGAGTCCATTTTGGTCGTCGTTACGTCACTTGGTACTAGGAAGAAAAAGAGAAATCTCCAACGTGGCGTTCTGGGGCAGCATAGTCAGGCCTTTTCTGTATTAGAGTTGTACTCGCTACAGGGTGTACTTTGAGGGTTTGTGACTCTGCAGACCGTTTACATGCATAACAAGCTACATAACACACAAGGGCACGGGTAATAACTGGAAAAGAATGACATGGGACCTTTAAATGTTAAGAAGCCCTCAGACGCTGTTTCTTGCAAGATGTTGCGTTTTGCCCCCGCGAAAATGTCATTGCAGTATCATTACTTTTACTTAAGAAGGTGCTGTATATTTTTCTGTTAATACTTGCTAACGTTTACTTAAATAAGGTTTGAATGCAAGATTTTAATTTGTAACGGAGTATTTTCATTCTATAGGCATAGTGTATCTCTGAACGATGCCAAATACAATTCCTTGTTTACATTGCAGCTACTGCTAATTAGGGCTGCAAAATATCTCCCATTTTAATGGTGATCAGATTTTGAAATACTAATATTTAACCGTTTTTTCTGACTGTGTGTTTCCTGTTACCTGCAGACGTCCAGCTACTGGTGGTGGTTAAAGAAGAGGTTCTCCCTGACCAGCAGGATTGGAGCACCAGTCTGGACCAGGAGGACCCAGAGCCCCCCCCACACATTAAGCAGGAACAGGAGGAACTCAGGATCAGTCAGGAGAGAGAGCAGCTTCAGGAGCTGGAGGAGGCTGATATCACCAAGTCCACTTTCACTCCTGACCCTGTGAAGAGTGAAGATGATGAAGAGAAACCTCAGTCCTCACAGCCTCATCAAAGACAAACTGAACACATGGAAACAGAAGCTGATGGAGATGACTGTCGAGGACCAGAACCAGCCAGGAACTCAGATCCAGAGAGCAGTTTACAACCAAAGACTGAGTACGCCACTGGAGACTCTTCTGAACCTGACACTGGAGACTCTTCTGAACCTCACATTGGAGACTCTTCTAAACCTGACACTGGAGACTCTTCTGAACCTGACACTGAACACAGTGCTGATTGGAAGGAGACCAGAGAATCTGCTTCAGCCTCAAAATCACTGAAAAATAGACAAGAATCTCTCATTGATTCAAGCCGTAGTGCTGGAAAGAAACAATTTGGCTGCTCTGTGTGTACGAAATCTTTTGCATTAAGTCACACTTTAAAAAAACACATGAGAATCCACACAGGAGAGAAACCATACAGATGCTCGGTTTGTACCAAATCTTTTGCATTGAGTCAACATTTAAAGACACACATGAGAATCCACACAGGAGAGAAACCATACAGATGCTCAGTATGTAAGAAATCTTTTTCACAGAGTGGGAGTTTAAAGGAACACATGACAATCCACACAGGAGAGAAACCCTTTAGTTGCTCGGTTTGTACCAAATCTTTTGCATGGAGTCAAAATTTAAAGACACACATGAGAATCCACACAGGAGAGAAACCCTTTAGCTGCTCGGTTTGTACCAAATCTTTTGCAGTTAGAGACAGTTTAAAAAAACACATGAGAATCCACACAGGAGAGAAACCATACAGATGCTCAGTCTGTAAGAAAGCTTTTTCACAGAATATACATTTAAAGGAACACATGAGAATCCACACAGGAGAGAAACGATACATTTGCTCAGTCTGTAAGAAAGCTTTTTCACAGAGTAGAGGTTTGAAGACACACATGAGAGTTCACACATGAGAAAAATCTGTCTGACTGGATTAACATTGTCGCACAACATTCATAAAATACTTAAGTGAACTCCATCTTTATCAACATAAGTGGACAATATGTTTAATGTTTTTGTCATACTGATTTTCTGATTCATACATTAACCACTGACTGTTGATGAACCATTTTATTTTGGATTGAGGGCTCCAAGTTTCCATATAGAGATATAGGATGATTTGATGTATTGTTCTTTATTTCTAAATGTTTGGTATCATTGCTATCCTGTTAATGAGCCCTGTTTTACATAAATGTACCTGTTATCTGATTGTTTTTGCCTCTGTAACTGTAAGGGAAGTAGGGCTGCACGATATATCGTGTCGTGAGGATAATCACGTTATGCGCATGCAGGACGATTTTAATTTAATTTAATTTATTTTTTAGGACGTGCGATAATACGTCGGAAAATTAACTCAAACACATCATATTACAATTATTTTGCTGCTTGTTACAAAAGGAAAACTCGCGCGGCTCTCATGTCAGGGGTACTTGAGTGAGTGACATGCAGGCTCTGCATGCACAGCAAACCACCAATCACAATCATTCTTGATCAGATCACAGCAGGATAACCGAGCTAGCTCAGCTTGTTGCTCTGATAACTTAAGATCCAGAAGTCTGTGACTAAAATCCTTCATCCGGTTAAATATCGTTAAAAAAAGACCAATTGTATAGCATGAAAGTTCAAGAAAGGATAGCTTGCGGACAAAAAAAAACTGTCTTTTCTTCAATTCCTGTATATTTTCATATCGCAATATATATATATATATATGCAATGTCAGTTTTTTCCAATATCGTGCAGCCCTAAAGGGAATACATTTGCCTATTTTGTATCCTGATGACCTAATGCCGTTACATGTAATACGTTACTCTCTAAGCCTGATTTCACCCACCTGCAACCGATTCGCTAATAATCACAAATGTTCATTTCTTTGACCCCTTGACTCGACTATTTCTTGTTTAATAATCGTTACATGTCCTCAGGACCAAGTTCCCGTTTCCTGCCTTTCACCTGCTGATCACCCACTGCTCATTTAAGGTGGACTGACCTTTACAATGGACCAGCTAGTCTTCTGGCGCATTTCCACCACACGGTCGGCCTCGGCCTCGCTCGGTACTGCTAGGCCGCGTTGGGCCTTGTTAGGGCCGGCTCACTTCATGCTGCGCTTCCATTACAGTTTAGGAACTGGGGTAGTATCTATAGTAACGCAGTGTAAGCGGAGCCGTGACGTCATCTTCAATGAGAACCCCAGAAAAACAACACAGCCGTTAGCTGTTAGCACTCAAGCTCACAGCTCCTCATATCGGTTCAGAAACTAGACAAAAGTTAAACAAGTACAAACCACAGACTGTCTGTGTCATGGTGAGTACAGTCGCTGGTTTATTTATGTCTGTATAGGCCGTTGTTGTGAGTGTGGACGGTCGGAGCATATATTGCGTTAGCTTAGCCAATCTCCATCTAGAAAACACGCATTTTAAAAGGTTTTTCGCCTGCCGTCTGTCTGCAGACTTGTCAAAGCATTAATTCATGGTTTTTACTAACCGGTATCAGTATGTTGTTACTTCGGCATCATTTTGAAACGTGTATTACAATTAAATCACGGTCAAATATGTTCATCTTGTTGTAGCCCCCTTGCCAGCGATTCTCTCTCTAGTTTAGCAAACTCAGCCCGACTCAGCCCTGTTTGTTGGCCCCGATAGAACCACGATTTTGTCGGGCCAGAAAAGAGGTGAAAAAGTAGCCCCGGGCCGGAACTAGGCCAAGTGGAAGCGCAACCAAAAACGGGCCCGGCACGACAGGGCACGCTTAAACCGCGCTCCGCGCCATGGTGGAAATGCATTAGTGTCTTAATGCAAACGTTTTGTAAAGTGATGCTAGACCAAAAACGTGCTGTTGGGTTGTGTGCTCTCTGCAGGACAGTGTCTGTACTCAAAGATTGTTTATGAAATGAAAGCTTCACTCTGTTTTTGTTGTCCAAACGAACGATACGTCTTCTTTCCAGCAGATGGCATAAATGTTACATCATCCAGTTCAACTGTCATCCACATATTAATAATTCAAAACAGAAATGTGTAAGATATGGCTAGTAATTTCAACTAGGGCTGTCAAGTTAACACGTTAATAACCCCACAAATTATTTTAACGTGCGATTAACGCATGTATATTTGTCCTCGGCCCGCCCAATAGTTTCAGAGCCCAAAGGCTTGACGTTGTTGTTGTTAGTTGGATGGTGGAAGATTCTAGCGAGAGATATGGATAAAAAAAAAGGTGTTTTAAACAGCAAGCCAAGCCCGCAGCTGATGCTGACAGCCAGGCGCGCCGGATTCATTTTAGAAGTGGGGGGGGCCAAAAAAGTGCGTGTGTATGGCCCAATCCCAAACCACGCCCTACACACTCCCCCTCCGTGACGGAGTGAACTCCGTGGAGTGACACATGAGGCTCCCTCCTGTCAGATGGAGGGAGACAGCGGCAAGCTTTGGGACAAACTCCCCTCTCTCCGGCAGAAACAGGAAATGCCGTAACTGTATGTAACAACGGTTTCAAATCAGCATCTCTTTGACAAAAAATGTAAATGTATAACTCAAATAAAACTCCAAACATCTTTAATTGTGTTACTTTTTTGTAAAGCTCTTTTAGTTTTAAACCTGATGTTTATAAGCTTCTTAGTTTTTGCAACAGTCTGTAAATATACACAACTTTATAATAAAATGCACACATTTACCTTTTTCTAGACTAAACACAGGTAGCCTATGATCCTAAGTTAAAAACATATGAGGTTATCATGAGGTTGTTAACATCGCAGTTTATCAGTGGGTTATTGATTCTGCGTCAGTCTTAGGACAGTCATACATTCCTATGAAGTCTTCATGGACAACATAATCAGCTGATACCCATCGTACAGTCAGAGACAACTGTTCATGGAGGCTTTGGGCACTTTTTCCAGTTATGAACTCCGGTATTAACAAAGCTATCATCTCCGCATTTTGAGAAAGTTACAAGCCGTTTGACAGCAGCAAATCTGCATATATATGACGTTACGTTACTCCGGTCTCCACTTGTAATTATGCCGTTTCAAGCTTTCAAAGTTGTATTTATCATCTGAATTTGCCGAAACAAGTTTAATATTCTGAAAGCCAAGACTTTGTTTATTTGAAATCAGATACAAACAAACTGTAACGGACCCTGCTGTGTTATATGATTACTATACGCCTTACATTCATAATTTCAGCAGAGGGAGGGGAAGCGGTGCTGTGGAACAGCAGAGTGGCGAGTGAGAGCTGTCATCTTCCCTTTACAAGCTTCAAAAATGCCTGTAGCTAATGACATTGAGTATAACAATAAAAAATAACAAAAAATACACAGCTAGATCAGATCGCGTTTTAGATGCAACTTTAGAGTAGAGGGGAATTATTGAAACGGGATTTGTACAGTGTTCCGCGGCATTCCGCGCCCTTGCTGACAGCCCCGCTCCTGCCGCTTGTTTGCGGCAGACCACGCTTGAAAGTTTGTCAGGGAGACGCATGGACACTTCTACGAGCAGCAAGCTTTTAACAGCGATAGCTAAATAGGTGGCTACAGCTTAACATTGTGGAGGACGAGGGGCTGCGTTAGATAATTCGGATCGCATCCAACGTGTCGACTGCACATCACAGCGCATTATTTTGACCCACAGTGCAAAAGTCTCATGCTTTAACTGAAGATGAAGACAGAGGAGCGGCATTTCGCCGACAACTGTAAACAGGCTTGTCTGTTTGAGCAACTGGCAGAGTGCAGAGAAGTAGAAAGGGTTGAGAGAGAGTGTAAGAGAGAGAGGTTCCAGGTGGTTGTATTGAAAATATTCAGGAGAACATTTGTCATTGTTCAGAGGTTGTTGTGTTGAGAATATTTGTCATTGTTCCAATGATAATAAACAAACATTTGCATAAAGCATATTTGTCCACTCATATGTTGATAAGAGTATTAAAAACTTGAAAAATATCCCTCTAAGGTACATTTAGAACAGATACAAAATGTGCGATTAATCGCGATTAAATATTTTAATCTACTGACAGCCCTCATTTCAACCAAATGTGAAGAGGTTACAGTTTTCAGGCCATGTCCAATATGTTTATGTTTTGTTTGATTAAATCTACTGAAATTGGCATTCAATACAAATGTATTGCACAATAGCTGTGCTTTATTTTAACTGAGCTATGCCTGTGGCAAGCTATTAACAGGCATTACACTGTGCCTTGTCTTTCTCTTTTTTAGTGTAGTGGAGCCTCACTTAGAGCGTTTACCGCGATCCATCTTTGGTGTTATGAAGTGACTGAGCACGTGAACTGTCTACGGGAGGGCGGGGGGAGCCTCGCTGCGGGGCAACTGTGGACCTCTGTCGCCTGTCAGCGCAACTTACATGATGCCGTTTTAAAAAATGAAGGGCGGTGCCGGCCGTCAGCGTACCGAGCCGGCCGTCAACGGCCCGCTGACGACCGGCCGTTCTGTGATTCTCCAGAACACACTGATGGCCAGTCCGCCGCTGAATTCCACCGGGTCGCCGCGGCGCAGACGGACCCGGTGCAATACAGGGTCTACCGCGTTTAGGAACCGTTAAGCAGAACCAAAATTGTGTATTTTGTATGGTTACCCGGTACCCGGCATTTTCTTATCGGTTCTCATCTGGAACCGAGTTTCGGTTCCCAACCCTAATCGCTACTTTGTTCAAGTAGTTCTCCGTTACCTATTTGCTTTTTCCTGCGTACCGGACCCTATCCTGCTAGCCCGTTTGCTACCAGCCTCCAGCCGAAAAAATGTTTTTTTCATGAACAGTTTCTTAGCTGTCTCCCTACTGGCTGACACCATCCCTGACTCCACCGTCACCCAGAATGTTTCCCCTACTGACCTGGTCAACACCTACAACAATGCTCTCTCCTCCTGTCTCAACCAACTCGCTCCAATAAAACCAAGTATGTCTCTTTCACTCACTCGGCCCCCTGGTACACCGATCATCTCCGTTGCCTCAAAAGGAAAGGTCGCCAGCTCGAAAGACATGCTAAACGAACTGGTCTCACTATGCACAAAGACATTTATAGACTGCACCAACAGCAGTACAAAGATGCCCTCAACAGTGCACGCTCCTTCCACTACTCCTCTGTAATACAATCTGGCAGCAATAACCCAAAGTCCCTTTTTTCAACTATTAACAAGCTCCTCAACCCCATGGATAATATCTCCAACTCCTTCACCACCTCAAAGTGTGAATCCTTCCTCTCATTCCTCCAAAGCAAAATTGAAATAATACACAGCAACACAGCCAACTCCTCCGTCTCGTCCACCACCCATGCTTCTCCGGAACATGCCTACCCTACTCCTTCCAGGCACCCTTTTACAGCCTTCAGACAAATTACCTCACTGGACATAGTTGCCCAAGTCACCGGCATGAATACCTCAACTTCCATCCTGGACCCCATGCCCTCCACCCTTGTCAAGGCCTGCCTCCCCCAACTCACTCATCTTATCACCACAGTCATTAACTCCTCTCTGTCCACTGGACTTGTCCCCCTTGCTCTGAAACTCGCTGCTGTCACTCCCATAATAAAAAAACCTGGTCTCAACCCTGATTCTCTCAATAACTACCGGCCCATCTCTAACCTCCCATTCCTGTCAACAATTCTGGAGCAAACTGTTGCCTCCCAACTAAAATCACATCTGGACTGCAATAACCTTCATGAACCTTTTCAATCTGGTTTCTGTACTCGCCACAGCACAGAATCTGCCCTACTCAAGGTGACCAACGACATTCTCCTCTCTGCTGACTCTGGTTCCCGCTCAATTCTCATTCTCCTTGACCTAACAGCCGCATTTGACACGATCAGCCATTCCATCCTCATCAACCGCCTCCAGTCTTCCATTGGCATTACCGGTACTGCCCTCTCCTGGTTTAAATCCTATCTCTCTGACAGACATCAATTAATCTCCATTAACAACTCCAAATCCCCCACAGCCCCCGTCAATCATGGCGTCCCTTAGGGTTCTGTACTTGGTCCCCTTCTGTTCATCATCTACATCCTCCCAATTGGACAAATCCTCCGTCAACACCAACTCCAGTTCCACTGTTATGCTGATGACACACAGCTCTACCTCTCAACAAAATCAATTTCTCCAACCACACACTCCCAGCTCAGCACCTGCCTCACTGACATTAAAATTTGGATCCAAAACAATTTTCTAAAACAAAATTGGAACTTATAATCATTGGCCCAAACTCACTTACCCGCTCAACCCAAGATTTTTATCTTACCATCGATGGCTCCATTGTCAACCCCTCCACTCACATCCGTAACCTTGGCATCATCCTCGACCCCACCCTCACTTTCCAACCAGGTCACAAAAAACGCTTTCTTCCATTTAAAGAACATCGCCCGCATCAGACCCATCCATGCCTTTATAACATCCCGACTGGATTACTGCAACAGCATACTTTTTGGATCACCTGCATTCAAACTAAAAAAACTTCAATATGTCCAAAACTCAGCTGCCCGCTTGCTCACCTCCACCCGACGCTCCGACCACATCACCCCTATCCTCCCTGACCTCCACTGGCTCCCCATCAAACACCGCATTGACTTTAAAATATTACTTTTCACTTTCAAAGCCCTCAACAACCTTGCCCCCCCCCCCTACCTCTGTGACCTCATCCAACGACACACCCCCACCCGTCGCCTCAGGTCTGCTGAGGCTAACCTACTGCAGCCCATCAGGACAAAGCTCCGGACCTGGGGTGACAGGGCCTTCGCTGCAGACCCCCCCCCCCCCCCCACTCTGGAACCCCCTCCCCAGCCACGTCAGATCTGCAAACACTCTCACATCATTCAAACAATCCCTCAAAACTCACCTTTTCACTCTTGCCTTCAACTCCTATCAACTAACCCCTTGCCCTTATTCCACCTAGCTTAGCACTTTCTACTTTTGTTGTTATTTTGTTTTACTTGCTTGTAAGCACTTTGAGCACCAGGAAAAGCGCTTTATAAATGTGATGTATTATTAGGGTCTGAGACCTAGGTCGGCGAAGACCCTATTGAACCCCTTTGACCTCCGCAACATATGTGAAAACTCACCAAATGTTGCACGCGCGTCAGAAGTGGTGCAACTTGCGATATGTAATTGGTTCCGGAACCTTGCGTAAAAAATTGCGTAGGCCACGCCCACTTCCGTTTTAACTGTGTAAACTCCCCCCACTTTAACTTTCACGTAAACGAACGAAACTCGCGACGCATATCTAGGGTGCGGAGACAAACAAAAAAGCCTCTTGGAGGGGTATAAAAAATAACGTACAGGAAGTCGGACATTTTGAATTTGGCGTCGGAAAAACGCGATTTATCGTCCTCCGCACGAAATCTATCTTCTCCCAGGGACTTTATCCGTACGACTCGAAATTCGTCGGGTAGCGTCTCGAGACATGGGCAATTCAAAGATATCACAGAAGTTTTTTTCTTTCGCACGGCGTAGCCGTGATTTGGCGCCAAAGTTCGCGTTCGCTTGATGCTAGGCGATCCCTCGCCATGGAACACGATGATGTCATAACACCAACTGACATACTCAGAACGCCACCAAACTTCACATGATGGTTAACACTGCGGCCCTGAACAGCTCTACGTCAAATTTGATGTTACTTAATATGGCGTTACCATGGCAACGCATCCCTCGCCATAAAACACGGTGTCGCTGTAACTCCAATGAACACGGTCCCATCGTCCCCCAATCTTCACTTTTATATCACCAGTCCATGCCTCAACAGCTCTACGTGAAATCTGAGATCTCACCGTATGTCGTTTCCATGGCAACGCATCCCTCGCCATAAAACACAATGTTGTCTTAAGTCAATGGAAAATGATCCAAACTGCACCAGACTTCATATGATGGCTAATGGTCCGGCCCTCAACAGCTCTACACCAATTATGGGATGTCATCATATGCCGTAGCCATGGCGACAGATCCCTCGCCATGAAACACTGTGTTGTCCTAACTCACTGGAAAAACGTCCAAACGGCACCAGACATCAGATGATGGCTAATGGTCCGGCCCTCAACAGCTCTACGCCAATTATGGGATGTCATTATATGCCGTTTCCATGGCAACGCATCCCTCGCCAAAAAACACAATGTTGTCTTAAGTCAATGGAAAATGATCCAAACTGCACCAGACTTCAGATGATGGCTACTAGTCCGGCCCTCAACACCTCAATATAACAATAGTGAGTTTTCCTCTAAAGCTGTTGCCATGGCAACGCATCCCTCGCCGTTAAGCACGATATTGCTATAACTCCTGTGTAAATGGTAAAAAAGTGTTCAAACTTTACATGTGTGATAACGGTACAGCCCTAAAGACATATATGTGTCAGTTTTGAGATTTCGTCAAATGCCATTGCCATGGTAACAAAATGGTGGCCGTGAAACATGGTTTTCTCATAACTCCAGTTAACATGCTCCAAACGGCCCAGAACTTCACAGGTTTGATAACGATGCAGCCCTCAACACATCTAGGCGTATTATGGGGTGTCATCAAATGCCGTTGCCATGGCGACAGATCACTCGCCATCAAACACAATGTTTATGATACTGCTGTAAATCCCATGTACGTTGTCCGATCGGCCTGAAACTTCCCACGTTTGCCAACGGCCGAGTCCTCGAGACACCTAGACACACACCTCGACGTGCGGACAACAGCCTGCGGAGCGTCGAAGACCCGCTCAACGCTGCTTGCAGCTTTAATTATTATTATTATTTAGACGCTTCTTGTGAGACTTGTGTTTTGTTTCGGTAAAAATGGTTAGCTGAGTTTCTTCCCGTTAGGTGGGTATGACACATTCATAGGTTTTTAAATGTTAAGAAGCCCTGAGACACAGTTTCGCGGGCGGGGGCTCTCGGGCTTAACAGGTTAAGGAAATCACATTCCTTACAAAGTACTTCATATTCTACCAGATGTAAAGTTTTGTTGTCAAAAATTTGTTTTTTAAGAAACCATCTAAGAATACCCCTTTAAACCATATATTATCACAAGAACAAAGGGTCAATACAATATTATAACCCTCCTATACAACTTCAAAAGGCATCCTTAAATGTCATAAAACCATATTATATCGCAAGAACAAAGGGTCTATAAAGTATTATTACCTACATATACAACTTCAAAAGACATCCTTAAATGTCAGAAAAACATATATTACCACAAAGGGTCAATAAAGTATTATCAGCCCCCCACTAGACAACTTTAGAAAATGACAATACAATACAACAACAATAGGTGAGCAAATAAGTCCTAAAACAAATATTGACAACAATGGTTTACTAGGGGGGACACTACAACAGGTTCACAGACAAACGGTCAATAAAGTCTTATGACCCCCCTATTTAAGAACAATACATTATAGGGGGCAATAAAACAATAAACAGCTAAACAAACAAGTCATAACAAGAATGAAGACAATGGTTTATTAGGGGGGCACTACAACAGGTGCACTGACACCTGTCACATCAAAGGGATTTAGGTTTTATGGGGGGTCATAAAAATCACTCAACATGTCATAAATACCAAAGTGACACATACCCTGTTCTTTCAACTACTAATTTCTTCCATTAACTGGGGGTTCCCTCCCGTTAACTGGGGGTATTTCGGGTCACGTTAGCACACATGCAGCGTTCAGTGGGGCGATGCAGGGTTTGGTGAAGCCGTCAGCGAAGCCCCCGCCCTCCACCAGCTCCGGCCTGCGGTTGCACATGGGGCAGATCTTGTTGCGCTCCTGCGACGCTCGAATCCAGACGATGAGGTTCCAGCGCCGGCCCGAGGAGATGGGCAGGGCCCCGTGCATCTGCTGGCCCCGGTGCAGGAGACCCTCGCTCACCCTGTGCTCCACCTCCCAACACTGCATCTCACTTAGAGCTACCTGCAGAGACATAAACACCAATAACCAGCATCAGTGGTGAAGAGCAATGTTCCCAAATACCACTGTTCCCTTCCACGCATCCTAACATAAGGTCGGTTCATTATGTTAGGATGCGTGGAAGGGTAGGACCCAAATGCAGACTATCAAAAAAGGTAAAAGGTCTCGAAACAAAAAGCGAGCTTTATTTTAAAAGCTGAACAAAAACAAGGCATGAAACACATAGGTTGTACAAAAACTGACCGTGACCAACATGGAGGGAGACAGGAGAGACAACCGTGACTGACATGGAGGGAGACAGGAAAAACCAACAATGAACCGACAGGGGAACAAAGGAAGAGACAAGACTAAATACAGGGAGAGGTAATCACAAGACAAGACACAGCTGGGGTAAGGGAGGCAGAAACACAAGGGCAACAGGTGAACACAATCAGACAATCAGACACACCAGGGAAACTAACGACAGGAAGGCAAACACAGGAAGAAGGAACAGAGAAGACACAAGGAGGAAACATTTCAAAACAAAGGTGGAAAAAAGAAAACATAAATACAAAACCCTAACAATATGTTTTTAACTTAGGATCATAGGCTACCTGTGTTTAGTCTAGAAAAAGGTAATTGTGTGCATTTTATTATAAAGTTGTGTATATTTACAGACTGTTGCAAAAACTAATAAGCTTATAAACATAAGGTTTAAAACTAAAAGAGCTTTACAAAAAAGTAACACAATTAAAGATGTTTGGAGTTTTATTTGAGTTATTAATTTACATTTTTTGTCAAAGAGATGCTGATTTGAAACCGTTGTAGTTACGGCATTTCCTGTTTCTGCCGGAGAGAGGGGAGTTTGTCCCAAAGCTTGCCGCTGCCTCCCTCCATCTGACAGGAGGGAGCCTCATGTGTCACTCCACGGAGTTCACTCCGTCACGGAGGGGGAGTGTGTAGGGCGTGGTTTGGGATTGGGCCATACACACCAGTGTTAATTTCGTCAACGAAAACTATGACGAAAAATGTTCGTCAACGACCTTTTTTACATGACTAAGACGAGACGATGACGAGCTAAAAATAGATTCTTGATAACGAAAATTTGACGAAATGTATATTTAGTTTTCGTTGACGAGACGAGACGGGACTAAGGTGTTAATGGTGGACTATCGGACATTCAAAATGCAGGGTATTTCCCCCCCAATTGCCCGTCTTGTCTGTCAAAATGCATCTTGCATTTCTAACTTGCAATATCATTATTTCCGCTCTCTTCACTCCAGAAGAGCGATCTCCTCTCTGTGTGCGGGGGGCGGGGCCTAACAGACACGCTGCAGCGGCACACAGAGATCTGCCGGGGACGGAGCGTTCAGAGAGTATAGAGACACTCTACAAGTCTCGATGTGGACAAAGCTCGTTTGCCATGTTTTCGCGTTGACACGAGTAGAGTAGTCTGTCCAAACAGCCGGCCAAAAGGCGTCATATTCAGTCGGAGAAATGCACCATTTTCGACTTCCTTAACTCGTAGCTCTGTTGCCCCAATTACGAGTAACGTTATCACATCAGGTGCGCAGAGGTGGGAGAAGTACTCAGATCTTGTAGCTAAGTAAAAAAATACCATAGTGTAGAAAGAGTTCCTCAAGTCAAAGTATGATCATCAAAATATATTTAAAGTAGCGACAGTAAAAGTAGTCATTGTGCAGATTGGTCCATTTCAGAATAATATATATGATATGTTTTATAATGATTGATCATTAAAGTGTTCTCAAAGCTGGTAAAGGTGCAGCTAGTTTGAATGACTTTGTATACTGCAGGGTAACTTGTGAATTTACTCCAGGTGGAACTAAAGTCTGAGTTAACACTTGATTATATTTCACATCATTCATCCACATCTGTAAAGTAACTAAAGGTATTAAATACATGTAGTGGAGTAGAAGTACACAGTAGCAAAACATTTAAATACTCCAGTAAAGTACAAGTACCTCAACATTTTACTCAAGTACAGTACAATATTTTAAAAATAATTATATATATTTCATTTATTTCACATTTAAATAAAGCAATTAATTCGGTTAACAATTTGTTAGTTTTTTCCTTTAAAAAAATAACAAAAAGTAAATACAAGAATACCGTTAAAGTACCGGATCGATAAGCAGTATTGATAAGACTAGCAGTACCGTAGAAAACCTTAACGATACCCATCCCTAGATATTACACAAGTAAAGTGTTAAGAGAGTGAAATGTTGCTTTACGAATTTCAACACTTGATGCTGTCACCTTGATTACAATGTCAGAAACCTGTATTTGCCTAACTGAATTGGTTTAAAGAGAGAAAACATTTTGACTAAAAGTTGACTAAAATGTAATTTTTCATTGACTAAAAGTAGACTAAAACGTTTTGAGTTTTCGTCGACTAAAACTAGACTAAAACTATGAAGGATAGAAATGACTAAAATGTGACTAAAACTAATAACCATTTTCGTCTAAAGACTAAGACTAAGACTAAATCAAAAACAGCTGCCAAAATTAACACTGATACACACGCACTTTTTTGGCCCCCCCACTTCTAAAATGAATCCGGCGCGCCTGAGTCCAGCTCCAACAAACTGGGAGATATTTACACTTTTGTGGCTAAAGGATGCTTTCCTCACACCATGCATCCTCTCAGGAAGAAGAATCTCAAAAGATCCGTTTTTATCAGATCCGTTGCAGCCCCTTTTTTAGAGATTTGGGTATGGAGGAAAATAGAGAGGGTTGTGTTTTCTGACACTTGGTGAGTTCCCTGGAACACCGGGGACACATATTCATGTATAAAAGACGTACAAAAGTGCATTTTGCATGATAGGTCCCCTTTAAGTCTTAAAGTGTTTGCATAAATTAGGGCGTGGTCACTTTGATGGATAGGTACGTGCCTCACTGTCAGCTAACAGCAACTTGTCCACTCTGCTAGGCTAGAACGTTAGCTAGTTGTAGTTACTGTACTTGACCCTTTAGCCGTGTTCGTGGTGATTGTGCCTTTTAGGGAATGTTGTTACAAATACCAGACAATTAAAATGTCGTGCTGTATGGTTGAATGTACTAACAGAACTTCCAAGAAGTCTACTCTCAGCTTTTTTGTTGAGTAAAATGATAATATTATACATGTTAGCAGGTGTTTGTGTGCTTGTTAGCTTAGCTTGTTATATAGCTTATTAGCCAGCTAAGGACGTAACCCTTTATACATGTATATATATATATATATCAGCGACGTGCAGTCAGGGGAGGCAGGGGAGGCAGAGCCTCACCTGTCATACTCCAATGTAACAGAAAAACAACTAAAGAAAAACTAAATAGTAATAATAATAAAATGTCTCCACTGATCTGTGTTGTAAGTGTGATTCCTGTATGATTCCATTCGCTTTTTATAGTCAAAATCAGCAAATTGGCCGAGCTCCGCTACAACTACATGGGAGCGATGAGGATTGAGGCAGGGACGAGCTCTGCCTCACGTAAGCCCACAATAACTGGCTGGAGCGCGGGCACTAATGAATTGATGCTGATTGGCTGAAATTATGTTTCGGCGGGATATTTTAAAGATAGCAACAGTTGGCTTCTGCTGCACTTGCTGCCCTCTCGTCTGGGCGCTGTGCATAGCGCCCAGACGAGAGGGAGTAATGATACACGGGCAAGGCCAGGCAGGAAACATGTGACTTATCAGTAACTTTAGACATCGTAACAAAATTTTAAACGAGATTTTATTGTAGATTATACATTTTACTGATACCAATTATATAATATTTACCTTGTTTATAAAAATTAAAATTAAAATTAAAAATATATATATATTTTTTTATGTGGGAAGAGGGGGGGGCGGCGCCCCTAGCGCCCCTATGGGCCGGCCGCCACTGGCGGGCACTAATGTAGCGCGGGCACTTATTTTGTGAGCGCGCTCAAGCCAGGCTCATTTGCTTACTGTGGGGTGAGGTAAGGCACAGATGAGCTCTGCCTCACCTCAGAATGCGTCACCCCACAGAAACTGGCTGGAAAGCGGGCCCTAAGCGCATAGCTGTTACCATCTCACTGTAGGTCACCAATGTAATGTTTGTAGATCCCTTTATTACATTTATCCTCGCCATCCATAGTCTCTAAATAACTTATTTCACGTATATATGATATTTAGGCCCGCTGGTCTCATCATACAATGGCAATGAAAAAAGCACCAGGAGAGGTAGCCATAACGTGAGCCCACAGGTTCTTGTTGCTACTGTTATTCTACGCAGAGACGGTAGACGCAAACAACAAACTAGACTTTTGTTTTGAAACTAGAGGGAGGACTTTTACAAAAAAGTAATGGAGATTGTTGTCCAGAAGGATAGCATGGACTTCATCTTCAAGTCAAGGTAAGACCACAATTGTAATGAACATGGGATCTTACTAAGAAAGAACAATCCAATATTTAGATTTTGGGTATCCTTTTGTTGAACGGTCTGTTTAAAATGAATCGAAGCATCAGACTAAAAAAGCTTTTGAAAATAACCGAATATTTCGATTAAGGTCAAAATATAATTGTGGTTAGGGGTGTGGTTAGGGCGCCGGCTGCTGGTGTGAAGGGAGTGGCTCGGCCGGAGGCCAGACAGCTGATCGGAATCAGGTAATCAGTCACTGAATAAAAGCATGTGGTAACCTGGTTCTGGTCGGTCTTGCAGTAGGCAGGATCCTGGGAGGTCGCCGAAGGACCTGTGAAGGATCCCACACGGGCAACGTTTTGCAACCCGTGTTGTACACTTTGTTTTGGTGCTAATAAATGCCTGTGTTCAACCCAAACCCTGCTCTTTCCGTCCCTCTTTGAACCCTGTGTGAGCGGAGAGGCTCACAATAATATTTGTAAATCTGACTCTGAAAGAGTCAGTGCCTCACCAGCCATGAACCTCAGCGCACATCACTGATATATATATATACAGTTTAGTTTATGATTCAGCCTTGGGTAAGACTTTTACAGTCTATGGTTATGACGCCCATAATGTTAAACGGGAACAAATGTTAAAAGGGGACCCAATTATCCCAGTGGTGGCTGCCGGAGTCCGCCGGCCAGAGCTAACGGAGCCGCAGGGAGCTAGCTAGCCCCCGTTAGCTCCGTTAGCTCCGTTAGCTCCGTTAGCTCCGGCGGCGGAGTCCGGCGTTATAACTGGAGATCAAGGAATGTAGCGAAACACGGACTTGGTTCGCCTGCAGCCCGCTGTAGTATTAGCTAAATAAATGATGTTGAACAAGGCTTATTAAGTGAGCATGAGCATGTGAGCATTTTAGCCTAGCTTGGCAGCTTC